AAACAAGGATCGGGATGGACTGGAGGGTCGTAGAGTCGAGACCGGTGTTGCGAGGAGGATCTTCTTGACCTTGAGCGAAGACGAAACGACGTCGTTGGTTGTTACGACCGATGACTGTGGAGCCAGGACTGCCGGGTTGGGTTAGGTTTAGGTTGAGATGTCGTTCTACACGCCACCAGAAGAGCCTAGCGTAGAGATGGAGCAAGAGGAGGAAAAGAATCGCTGTGAAAAGTGAGACGATTGCGAAGAGGATTACTTTTCCCATCATCTCTTCTCCTTCAAAGTTTCTGAAGATTGAACCATTAGATGCAGATTCTTCGTCCATGTCGTTGACAAATTGTGGTGAAACCCTAACAACTCAAGACTTTTTTGCGTGGGAAGAAAGGAACACGAAAGATTATCACATCAAGACAAAGATCTTGAAGGTGTAAAGCTGTTAAGACCTGAAAGATCGATGATTTATTGAAAGTGGTGAAGCTTTATGATGTTGAAGTTTGGTTGGAGGTCCATTAAGTCTTTGAAACCATGACTCACGGCAAAATGGAGATGAGAATCAAAGACTGGTTCAAGATTTTGAAAAATGGTTGGGATACATGTCAGTGGAACACGCTTTCAGTTTATTGACTCGGTTTAGTCAATTTCCTGATCAAATCGTTAGTCAACATCAGTTTCTAAAAAATAAAAAAATTTTACTAGTCCAATACTATACATACGATTGAGTTATATATAACTGGCACATTACAAACTGCTTCTCTCAAGCACGAGACCAATGCCAAAGAGCTGATCAAAAGATCTTGCATTACTACATTACTAAATTTTTCAAGGACAGAATTTACACAATTTTATTTGTTTGTCTGATAATATAATACTTTAAACAATGGAAAAGCTGTGGAGAATTGTTTTACTTACCTGAAACTCTAACATACAATTGAGTTTACAACCGGCACATCTCTCAAACTGGGAACAGCATGAGACCAAAAAATTTAAATCACTAATTGAACAATTGTATGTCAGCGTTTCAGGTAAGTAAAACAATGCTCCACAGCATGAGATTATTAGGTCGTTGGCATTGGTATCGTGCTTGAGACAAAGCAGTTTGTAATGTGCCAATTAGGAACAGCATGAGATCAAAATTATAAATCACTAATTGAACAATATGATGACTCTTTCTCTGCTAAATAACAGCAACATTACCTCATGCCCCAGTTGATAGTAGTTGACTTGGTTTAGTCAATTTCCTCATCAGTCAATATCAGCTTTAAAAGTATAAAATGGTTTACTAATCAAAAACTCAACATACGTATCGAGTTATACATATACCAAGTGTACAACCTGGCATGCGACATTAGATCACTAATTATGTTCTTTGTTTCCCATGACATCATTCCACTGCTTAAGCCTAGTCAAGATACATAGACGTCTCTTCAATGTTAGGGTCCGACTGGTTTTCCCGCTACCACCCGCAAACGCAGCTTTTACGGTTGATGGCGGTTGCTAACGTTTTGCAACAATCACAAAAACCGTTACAAATCGCTTCAAATCGCTCCCAACCTCTTAAAATCAAAAGCTGGTTTCAGCTAGCGTTTGCGTTTGCGGGCGATTGCGGGTGGGTAAAAAAACTATTTTTAAAAAAAATTTAAATTAAAATATAAAAATAAAATAATATAACTAAAACTATATCTACCTTTTATTTTTTAATTTAAATTCACTAAAAATATCATAATCTATTTATAAAAACTTTAAATCAAGAATTTTCACTATATTTTTCAATATTAAATATATAAATATATAAATAGATAAATATATAAATATATAAAAATATAAATATATAAAAATATAAATATATAAAAATATAAATATATAAATATATAAATATATAAATATATAAATATATAAATATATAAATATATAAATATATAAATATATAAATATATAAATATATAAATATATAAATATATAAATATATAAATATATAAATATATAAATATATAAATATATAAATATATAAATATATAAATATATAAATATATAAA